CCTTCTCCCGTCACTCGTGAAAAAGACTCTGAGATACTTAAACTCCACTTGGGGCAGGAACTCGTCCCTGACCCGTAGTGGGCACTCCACTCTTTTCTTTTGTTTGTTTGTTGCCACTGCAGGAGAATTACACATTAAGGTAATGAATTATTCATAATCAAAGGTTTATTCAAGACCAAGAGTAAAATCTACTTTGTACAACTGGGAGAGGTGAACTGACACACACACACACACACTGAGGCTGAGTTTCACCACTGAATCATGGGCTCAACAGGTGCTGCTCTCAGCTAGTTATCGGGTGTCCTGAGCACCGTCAGGGTCAGGGTTAATCTGAAGTGTTCCTGCTGATTTTTGTCAAAGCCGTTATTTTTTCTTTTGAAATTCAAAATTAGGATTTGCAGTATTGATTACCGTATCCTTACTGAGCATGTGGGTGTTACCAAGAGCATGGCCTCCTAAACCATTAGAATTGAAAACAGAGTTTACTGACATGAAAATTTGAATTTTTAAAAATGTGACATTACAATTTTTTTCCTCAAATATTTTTATTAAATTTTTTGCATTCATTTTTACAAAAGACAAATTAAACAATATGCCGTTTTCTTCGTGACATTACAATTTCTAAGCATATTCATATCTACTAAACACTGTATTTACAGGAGTTGATCACATATGATTTTGTGTTATTAGGTTAAACAAAAAGGAAAAAAAGCATACAGACTAGTATTAGCTACATTTAAATTGTATTTAATTTGTGGTATGCTGACACAGACTCTTAAAATGATCTCCTCCACATTTATGAAAGCATTACAGACTACTTTTCTATTTTTTAAAATCAATCTACTGAGAAACTTTTTTTCATATTTCATTTTATTCTAATTAATACAAAGATAGCAGAAAATAATTAGCGAACAGAAATGTTCTCTTACTAGAAAGTCAAATAACATCTAGGCAACACTGAACTCAAGTTTCATTTTGGAACTGTTTTCCAACCATGAATAAACGTAGAAATACTAACAGTTATTCAACGGGTAATGCTTGCTAGGACACTGCTTCAGTAACGTTGAGGTCTGGGCTCTGAGGAGGCCAGTCCATGACTGAATGTTCCACAATGTGCCTTGTGGACCATTTCTGATAAGGCTTTCGTGAACAGAGGGGTCAACTGAAGGCACAAATGCATTTCTCAGGGCCTGTCTCAGGTCTTTGCTGGACTTTCTCTGATTTCTTAAGCGCAATTTTTAGATACTGCTGTACTTTCTGCTACTTCTTTTCATCCTGCACTTGTCCAGATTCCTCAATTTTTTTTAAGACGACATTGGACACCATGCGAAAATATGCCAAACTGTTATCTTTGTCATTTTCATGTGTTTTTCCAAAATGCTGTTAGTAACAAAGTGCGTAAATTGTTCATTATGTGTATACACTAAACAGGTTCAACCCTTTATAGCTTAACAAACAAGAAGGCAAAAAAAACAAACCAAAAAAACCCCCAAAACAAAACAACAACACGCTCCACAGAAAATAGTTAGATTGAGATACTGGGAGTATACTAATTCTGTAAAGCCAGGAGAACAATTGCTTAAAGCCACTTTTTAAAAAAAAAAAATTACAAAAAAAAAAATTGCTCATTGGAAGGAGATATGGACTGACTCAAGATTGCACTTGAACAGAATTGACTAAATTAACTAAAACTAAATAATTTTGTGAACAACAAAGCAACAGATATAAAACAATAATTATTTTTCCATCATTTGTGCTATACCTTTATGAATTATCTGCTGGTCGCTTGAGAAGTAAACGTCAGAGGTGCAGCTATTAAATGGACAATCGACAAATGAAACAAGAACACCAGAAC